CCTCTCTTACCACAAACCAACTGTGGATGTCTCTCACACTTAACACTGTGTTGATTTTCCCTTCATTCATTAAAAAACAAAACAAAACAAAACAAAACAAAACAGCCCAGCCCAGCCCAGCCCAGCCCAACAGCAGTAGATGGTAAAGGCTTGCCCTTGGAGTTTAATTGTGTCAAGTATCAAAAACAGCAATTTGTATCTGCAGCATATCAATTGCCAGGCATGACTTTTAAAAAAAATTAAGATTTTTAAACTTATACAAAAGACATCAATCATCAAATACATCAGATGTACTGGGACAGCCCCCTACTCATATTTTTTAACATTCTATAGTCATATTCAAATTCATTTATAATAACTTGAAAACATCTTTAAATCTAAGCCAAGTCCCATTTCTCTAGCAAATAATAAAAAAAAATCCCAAGTTTGATAGAAGTCAGTATATTTTTTCTCCTTCAGTGATAAAGTCAGTCTATCCATTTCTGCACAGTCCAGAATCTTTTTTAGAATCAGTTCATCGGTGGGTAGTTCCTCACTTTTCCAGTGTTGAGCGAATGCAATTCTCGCTGCAGTGATTACATGTAACATCAAATACATTTCTTGTTTACTAATATCTTCTGGTATAATGCCTAATAAAAAAACTTCTGGTTTAAAAGCTAAGGGTTTTTGTAGCATTTCCTCAAGCCATTTATGTATTTTAATCCAATACTTTTTCACATTGTCACAGGTCCACCACATATGGTAAAAAGTACCCAATTTATGTTTACATTTCCAACATTCATTTGACATATTTGGAAACATCTTAGCTAATCAATTTGGCAACAGATACCATCTATAAAACATTTTATATAAGTTTTCTTTATACAAAATTGCTAATGTTACCTTAATATTTCTCTCCCATAGCTTTTGCCACTTTTCTAATTCAATATTATAGCCAAAATTTTGTGCCCATGTTATCATAGTTGCCTTAACTGTTCATCTTCCATTTTCCTGTCAAGTAAGAAATCATATAATCTTTTAATCATTCTCATCATCTGATTTAAGCATCGCTTGATCAAACGCTGTTAAGTCCTTATAAAACCCCCATGCTTTACAGTCTTTAGCATATCTCGATTGCATCTGCACCTTATGCCACCAAGAGATATTGAGTCCCTGTTCTTGTGTTTCTTCATGTAATTTCAGGCCTCCATCCGTATCCAAAATATCATCATATCTTATGATCCCTTCAAAATTCAATATATTTGGATACACAAAAGCTTCCATAGGTGAAAGCCATTTTGGTAGTTTATTATACAATTTTAGCTCTAACTTTTCCCACACCGACATTAATGATCTTCTAATAAAGTGATTTAAAAAAGACCCATGTGACTTAGCCTTCTCATACCACATATAAGCATGCCAACCCATTTGCAAATCATGACCTTCAAGATACAAAATTCTCTTATTTACCAAAGTTATCCATTCTTTTAGCCAAGTTAAAACAGATGCTTGATAGTACAACATCCAATCAGAAGACCAAAACCACTGTTCTTTTTAGCGTCCTGAAGTATTTTTAATTTAATCCTTGGTTTCTTCTTTCTCCAAATAAAACTTGAAATTTGAAAGTTTAAATCATCAAAAAAAATTATCAATTTTTACAGGAATCATATGAAATAAAAACAAAAGCTTAGGTAGTATATTCATTTTAACAAGTGCTATTCTTTCCATCAAAGATAATTGTAAATTGGCCCATTTTTCCAAATTGCCCTTAATATCCTTCAATAGTTTATCGTAATTGTCTTCTTTCAAAGTAGTACATTTGGCTGTAAGATAGATTCCCAAATACTTAACCTTTTTAACGATCTGCAAGTCTACTTGTTCCTGGAGCCTTTTTTTCTGGTCTTGTGTGAGATTTTTAACTAACAATTTCATTTTTTCTTTATTTATTTTCATCCCGTAACCTCACCATATTCTTCAATCCATTGTAGGAGTTTAGGCATTGTTATAAAGGGTTCCTCTGTTATGAAAACCAAATCATCTGCAAATCCTTGCAATTTATATCTTTTATCCCTAATTCGAGTACCTTTAATGTCCACATTATCCCTGATATTTCTATTCAACACCTCGAAAATCAGAATAAACAACAGGGGTGACAACGGGTATCCTTGTCTTGTACCTTTTTGTATCTCTATAGTCCTTGTAAGTTCTCCATTAATTAAATCCTGGCCGACTGTCTTTGATAAATGCTTGATATCACATTCATAAACTTTTCACCAAACTCCATTGCCAATTGACATTATCAAAGGCTTTCTGGGCATCCATAATCAGTAAGGCCATTGGTTCTTTCGTGTGTGCCAAGCATGACTTCTGTATACATCGAGGTTCCTCCTTCTCAGTGGAGCTGCAATAGGAAAATGTTATTGATCCAATGGTGAACCTTTGATCCAACAAGGAAATGATAGCAGAAAAAGCTAGATTTGCAAGTCATGCATATTGTCATTAGAGTTACGATAAGGCCCTGATGAAAGAAGTACATAAGCACATCTCTCTTAGAAGCTCTTAAATGCCAATTCTTCTTGGGCTGAGCAGAAGCCGTGACAGCATGGGTGCCACAGCGACTCTCAGATGGATGGCCTTCTTCAGTATGTTGTCTATGCCAGCTGTCTCAGGTAACCCTATGCCTCAGCTTGTAAGATAG